GTCAGTCTCCCAAGACAAAAGAAATAAAGCAAAGATAAACAAATGGGACCTAATCAAACTTAAAAGCTTTTGCACAACAAAGAAAACCATAAATAAAATGAAAAGACAACCTACGGAATGGGAGAAAATATTTGTAAATGTTACTACCAACAAGGGATTAATTTCCAAAATATGCGAACAGCTCATATAGCTTAATATCAAAAAAGGAAACAACCCAATCAAAAAGTGGGCAGAAGACATAAATAGACATTTCTCCAAAGAAGACATACAGATGGCCAACAGGAACATGAAAAGATGTTCATCATCGCTAATTATTAGAAAAATGCAAATCAAAACTACAGTGAGGTATCACCTCACACTAGTCAAAATGGCCATCATAAAAAAGTCTACAAATATAAATGCTGGAGAGGGTGTGGAGAAAAGGGAATCTCCAAGATTGTTGGTGGGAATGTAAATTGGTGCAGCCACTATGGAGAACAGGATGGAGGTTCCTTAAAAAACTAAAAGTAGAATTACCATGTGACCCAGCAATCCCACTCCTGGGCATATACCCAGAGGAAACTCAGTTTCAAAAAGATACATCCACCCCAGTGTTCATAGCAGCACTATTTACAATAGCCAAGATATGGAAGCAGTCTAAATGTTCATTGATCAATGAATGGGTAAAGATTTTGTGTACTTATACATAATGGAGTATTACTCAGCCATAAAAAAGAATGAGATAATGCCATTTGCAGCAACATGGATGGATCCAGAGATTATCATACTAAGTGAAGTGAGTCAGACAGAGACAAATATATGATATCACTTATATGTAGAATCTAAAAAAAGGATGCAGATGAACTTAATTTACAAAACAGAAAGAGACTCACAGACATAGAAAACAAACTTATGGCTACCAAAGGGTGGGGGAAAGGGGATAAATTAGGAGTTTGAGATTAGCAGACACATAATATATAAAATAAACAACAAGGTCGTACTGTATATTACAGGAAACTATATTCAGTACCTTGTAATAAATTACAATGAAAAAATCTGAAAAAATATATATGTATAACTGAATCACTTTGCTGTATATCAGAAGTTAACACAACCTTGTAAATCACCAATACTTCAATTAAAATAATAATATTCCATTGTATGCACATACCACATTTTGTTCATCCATTTATCTTTTGATGGACCCTAAGCTGTTTCCACCTTTTGGTTATTGTGAATAATGCTGATATGAACATTGACATGTAAGTATCTATTTGAATCCCTGTTTTTCAGTCTTTCGGGTGTATAATACTTAGGAGTGGAATCAGCTGGGTGAGATGCTAATTCTGTGTTGAACTTTTTGAAGACCCACCAAATTGTTTTCCTCAGCAGCTACACCATTTTACATTCCTACCAGCAGTGCCAGGAGTTCCCAGTTTCTACACATCCTAATCTGTATTTATTGTTTTTAAATACCTTCCTAATAGGTGATGTGATATCTCATTATGCTTTTGACTAGCATCTCCCTGATGATTAGTGATTTGTAGTATCTTTTCATGTGCTATTGGCCATTTTTTATCCTTCCTCTTTAGAGGAATGGTCTATTCAAGTCCTTGCCCATTTTTAAATTGGGTTGTCTTATTGTTGAGTTGTAGGAGTTCTTTATATAGCTGGATATTAATCCCTTAACCAATATATGATTTAAACTCTTGATACTGTCCTTTGATGCACAGACATTTTTAATGAAGTCAGGTTTATTGATTTTTTTCTTTTTATTTTCTATAATTCTGTTGTCATTTTTAAGAAAACCATTGCCAAATTCAAATTAATGAAGTTTTGCTACTATTTTTCTAAGAGTTTTACAGTTTTAGCTCTTGAATTAAGATATTTAGTCCAGTTAGTCCATTTTTAGTTTAGTTTTGTATATACTATAAGGTAAGGGTCCGGATTCATTCTTTTGCTTATGAATATCCAGCTTTCCCAGTACCACTTGTTGAAAGAACTGCTCTTTCCCCATGGATTGGCCTTAGCATGCTTGTTAAAATCATTTCACCATATATGTAAGGATTTATTTCTGGGTTCTCAATTCCATTCATTATGTCTGTGTATCTGTCCTTATGCCAGTACCATACTGTTTTATTTATAGATTTATAGTAAGTTTTAACTTTGGGACATATTCTCCATCTTTGTTCAAGATTGTTTTGGCAGTTCGGGGTTCCTTGAAATTTCATACAAATTTTAGGATGTGTTTTCCCATTTGTGCAAGAAATGCCAAATGAGGTTTTGGTAGGGATTGTATGGAATCTGTTTGTTACTTTGGGTGTTATTGCCATCTTAACAATATTAAGTTTTCCAACCTGTGAACCCAGGATTTCTTTCTATTTACTTAAGTCTTTTTTTTTTTAATCACTCTTTTATAGTTATCTCATTTTTCCTTGGTTAAATTTATTCCTAAATATCTTCTTCTTTTTGATGCTATGTAATGTCTAATAACAGTTTTTTTGTGTGGATTCTTTATGGTTTTTCTGCATATAAGATTATGTCACTCGCAAAGAGAAATAGTTGTACTTCTTCCTTTTCAGTTTCAGTACCTTTTCTTTCTTTTCTGATTGCTCTAACAAGAACTTCAGTACTATGTCGAAGTGACAAAAGCCGGCATCCTTGTCTTGTTCTTTATCTTCAGGGAAAGCTTTCAGCCTTTTACCACTGACTATGTTTTTAGCTGTGGGTTTTTTATATATGGCCTTTTTCATATTGAGAATTCCCATCTCATCTTAGTTTATTGAGGGTTTTTATCATGAAAAGATGCTGAACTTTTTCAAATACTTTTTCTGCATTAATTGAGATGATCATGTGATGTTCCCCCTTCATTCTGTAATTGCTTGATTTTCAAATGTTGAGTCACCCTTATATTCACAGGATAAATTCCACTTGGTCGTGGTATAGCCCTTTTAATATGCTGCTGATTCTGTTTTGATAGTATTTTTTGAGGATTTTTATGTCTGTATTAATAAAGAATATTGGCTTATAGTTTTCTTGTAGTATCTTTGTCTGGCTTTGTTTTTAGGGTAATTCTGGCCTCATAGAATGAGTTAGGAACCATTCTCTCCTCTTCAGTTTTTTTAAGAGTTTGAGAAGGACTGGTGTTAATTTTCCTTTGAATGCATCTGGACTGGGCTTTTCTTTTTTGTGAGTTTTTAAATTACTGATTCAGTCTCCTTATAGGTATTTTCAGATTTTCTGTTTCTTAAGTCAATTTTGCTAGTTTATGTGTTTCTAGAGATTTGTTAACTTGTTTTAGTTATTCATTTTGTTGATTTGGAGTTGTTCATAGTATTTGCTTATAATCCTTTTTATTTTTTTTCTGGTTTAATTTTTTATTGAAGTATAGTTGATTTACAATGTGTAAATTTTTGGTATACAGCATAGTGATTCATTTATACATATATATTCTTTTTCATATTCTTCTTTTATAATTCTTTTTTATTTCCGTAAAGTGGGTACTAATGTCACCTCTTTCATTCCTCATTTTAGTGATTTGTCTTATTTTCTTTGCCAGTCTAGTAAAAAAATCCTGCCAGTTTTTTAGATTTTTTAAAAAATAACTGGGTCCCATTGGTTTTTCTCTTTTCCTATCTTCTATTTCATTTACTATTTCCTTCCTTTTGCTAGCTTTGGGTTTAGTTTGCTTTTCTTTTTCTAGTCAAGGTGTGTGGTTTCTTAAGATGTACAGTTAGGATATTCATTGAGATTTAGTTTTTTTTAATGTAGGGTGTTTTCAGTGATAAATTTTCCTTTTAGCATTACCAGTACTGAATCCTGTAAGTTGTGGTATGTTGGTTTTGTTTTATTTGTTTCAAGGTAGTTTCTAGTTTTCCTTGTGATTTCTTCTTTGACCCGTTGGTTATTTAAAAGTATGTGGGTTATATGTATGTGGAGTTTTCCAGTTTTCCCTGTTTTCTGTTACTGACTTCTGATTTCATGCCATTCTGGTCAGAAAAGATACTTTTTATAATTTCAGTCTTTTAAAATGTATTAAGACTTCTTTTGTGGCCTACCATATGGTCTATTCTAGAGAATATTCCATGTGCACTTGAGAAAAATTTGTATTGTTGTTAGTTGGGGTGTTCCATGTATGTCTGGCATGTCTGATTTGTTTATAGTGTTGTTCAAATTTTCTATTTTCTTTGGTTTCCTTCTATTTTTTCTGTCCATTATTGAAAGCATGGTATTGAAATATCTGATTATTATTGTAGAACTATGTATTTTTCCCTTCAGTTCTGTCAATTTTGTTGCACAGATTTTGGGGGTTCTGTTGTTAGGTTTGTATGTGTTTACAATAGTCATATTTTCTTACTGGGTTGAACCTTTCATCCTTTCATCAATAGAGTTCTGGGTCTCTTGCAATCTTTTTTTGTTTTTTTAATTTTAAATCCAGTTTGATCATAAAATAGCCACCTGTTCCCTTTTGGTTACTATTTGCATGAAATATACTTTTTCCATTCTTTTACTTTCAAATATTTTATGTTTTTGTATCTAAAGTGAGTCTCAGAGATAGAATATAGGTGGTTGTTTGGTGTTTGTTTGTTTTACTTAATCCACTCTCTATATCTCTGCTTTTTAATTGGAGGATTTAATCTACTTTCATTTTAAAATAGTCACTGATAAGGAAGGAATTACTTATGCCATACACTTTTCTATCTTACATGTATATTTTTTGTTATTTAATTCCTCCATGACTGCCTCTATTTTTTGTATTTACAATTGACTCTTGGGAAGAACACAGGTTGGAACTCTGTGGCTTCACTTATATGCAGATGTTTTTCAATAGTAAATACAGCAGTACTACAAGATCCACAGCTGGTGGGACTGCAGATACAACGGAGCTTCATACACAGAAGAACAAAAGAGACAAGAATTCACTTTGTGTATTAAATAAATACACAATAACAAGTGGAAAACAGCAAAAATGGCTTGGGATATGACTGTTTAAGCTGAATGATTGGTTACTATGCACACTAGCCTCAACGCACATGAAATTCAGTTATGTCACAGTAGAATTACATACAAATCCTAGATCTTCTATATAGCTTGCAAATAATAAAAATCATAAGACTATATGCTATATATGCTATATGCTGGTTTGTTCATCATTGCTGGGCATTAATACACATCATATCATCTGAATGTTTATTAAATACCTATAGAATGAATCTTTATGTGCTTCATGAAACCATCAGACTTTCTCATATTAAGCAACATTTTCACTTTCACTATTTTACTTTGAGATGTAATATTCCATTTGAATTGAATATTATTAGCAAGTTATTTTTATTACTCTCATTAGAGTTTTCTCTATATTTTACTCTTGTTGTATTCGGACAACAGAGCTTCCAAGTAATATATTTAATCTATTAGCAAAAGCAACTACAGTTAGTCTCTTTACCAAGTGAATATGTTTACCATTTAGGTGCCTATGGTTCATGCTTGAAGTTTTAATGACAAAGAATGAAAATAATAGCCATGCCTTTATGAAGAAGATGGCAGAGAACATCAAACTAACAAAAGATGCCCAGTCTCCAGATGAATCCAAGACAAATGAAGTAAGATATGTATTAGACCAATGGGTATTAAGATGTTAGAGGAAAAAATATGACCCTTGTCCCAATTATTTTTCCTGTTATATAATAAAATAGGTTATAGCATATTTATAAAAAGTTATAGTCAGTTTTTCATTTCATTAAAATTGAATTCTATTAATTCAAGAATGTGTATTATTCTGGAAAAGATACTAAAACATCTATAGAGCATGGGGATAAGAACTTGTAAAATTTATAACCATGCTATCTTATGACCTTTTAGTAAGAGTCGCAGACAAGTAGATATTCTGTTTGTATGTTTCATTTAGTTTGGTTTGGTATTTTTAATGTGTTCTTGATATTCATATTAAATTAAGATGAAGGGTTTTTGTTGTTGTTTACTAGGAGGAAATGCCAAACACAAATGCAGAATATTCATGGAATAACCACATATTATTCTTTTGATTCCACTTTATACACTGGGTACTTGTGGCTGTTTTGCACTAATGAAGGTTATATATGATCTTTCTTTTTCCTCCCTAGAAACTTTATACAGTATGTGATGTTGCCCTGTGTGTTATAAATAGTAAAAGTGCTTTGTGCAATGCAGATTCACCAAAGGATCCAGTCCTTCCAATGAAATTTTTTACACAACCCGAAAAGGTAATTTTCATCCCCTCATTTTTTTACCTCACTAAACTGATTTAAATGTGTTACCATCAGCCCTAGTGGCATATATTGGACTGTCTTGACTACAGAGTTAAAAAAAATACCTCTACGAGTTTATCAAGAAATGAGAGATTGTCTTCCAAAGCCTGAAAAATATCATTCTCACCTTACAGAGTAGAGAATACAAATCGAGCTTGGTGGTGGTGTTCCTATGTGAGCTTTTCCTTCTGGATATTTCTAGTATGTAAGAGGAATTTTCAGATTTCTTTGTTTTCATCTCATTTTATTAAAACACTGTTAGTATTTTTTCAGACAAGAAGTAAACAAAATGTTTGATACGGTGTAAACATATATACATCTATGTATGAAGTAAAATGTTAGAGTTAACCGAATTGGTCTTGGTCATTGATAGACCTGGATTCTGGTCAACCGCTTCCAACCTGAGGAACTTTATTTACACAAGTTAACTCTCTAAACTCTCTAAAGCCTCAATTTCTTCATCTCTAAACCGTAGGTGAACAATTACTAATATATCTAGGTTTCTAAGACTTTGTCACATAGTAAGCATTTATTAATAAATAGTATTATTAATAATTAATACATAGTACATTTATTCTGCTATCAACAAATGAAGTTTTCCATGTTATTAAATTTTCCAGCTCACTAAAGCTCTTTAAGTTTTCCCAACTAATTTGAATTTAAAAACTTTTTTTAAAAGAATGTCTTTTTTTATTTGTCTTCTGCTTTAAGGTGGTATTTTAAATTTTAACTTTCCTATGCTTTGTCTAAGAAACAAAATCCTAAATATTTTTAATTGGAAAAATATGGCATTAAAAATTTTTTTCTACACATTATCAAACCTGAAGATATGTTTCAGAGTAATACTCCGCGTAGAGTATTTTACGGAGGAACACTGTGAGAAATGGGGCTTCCACTTGGGATGCCATACTTTGACAAAAATTTTACTCAGATTTTAGTTTTCAGAATTTACTGTGCCTGGTTTTTGATTGGAATTAAAGGATTACAAAGTTATTTGCCCTCTAATTGAATTTACTGGTCTTTATAAATATTCCTAAGTGAACCCCTGAGTTTAAATTTACTTTGTTGTTGACCTAGGGCTATTATTATTGGAATAGTACAAATAAATCTTTATACAACAGTAATCCCATCATCAAGAATTAAAATTGCTGTTTGTCACTGTAGATAATTCTCATTGTATTTGTTTTGATATGAAGTTTAGAGTGTTTTTAGCCTTCTTAGTATAATAGCTTAGGTTTTCCCTGTTTTCAGTAAGCAGATTTCCTCATTTCCTTTTCTAACATGTTGCTTTTAATCTGGTGTAAATTAAAACAGTAGAAAACTAGGCATATTAAGATAATGAGCTAAGTGAGGCTATAGAGTATCTTCATGAGTAAAATGAATGAATTTTGATGCCCAGGATTTGTAACATTTATTTTAGCTGCATAAATGCCTTTGTGGGGAAACATAAGAAAGGAAAAAAGATAAAGCTTTGCCCAGAAAACATTCCAAAAATGTGATTTCTTTTAGGCACATTTAAGCCCTTCGTTCTTTTCTGTGACACTACTGTGAAGGTAAACAGTAAAAGAAAAACTAACTTTTAAGTGAGATTACTTAAAAATTAATGAACTTCCTAATTGCAGTAAGTCATTTTGCTTCTGTGACACCATGAGGGTTTAGTTGTGTGCTATTCCCAGGGCATTTTTATAATAGAATAGAAGAGGAGGTAGTTCACTGAATAAACTGTAGACTCTCTGTCCTGAACCATATGAAAAAATAGAATTGTTTCATTTAAAATGTGGTTTAAGTAACTTATCTCTGACATCTGCCTAAGTTTTATGTGCTATTTTTTTTAATTTTAAAACTAGACTCATGGTATGGTTCTTAATTGTGCTATGATTATTTGATTATTTGATATGTTTTTCAGCACAAATGAAATTGTCATTGTAAGGCACAATGCCTGAAAACTCTTAAAATGGACAGTAAAAGTACACGTATGCATGTTCACTTTTTTTTTTTTTTGGGACAGGACTTTTGTAATGACAAGAGTTACATTTCAGAAGAGACAAGAGTACTTCTATTAACAGGAAAGGTATTATGTACTAAATAATTTGGGGGTCTTTATCTCATGTGCATATTACTTCTGCTAGTCTTAGAAATAACATTTAAATGTTCCCCACATTTTATAGTTCCTGATTTTCAGAGATCATATTGTGGATTGTAGCATTTGTTCTCAGGCTGTTTTCTGCCATGAACCACTTTTGAATTATGACCATGTGTTCTCGTCAGTACTGACAGGCTTCAAGTTATTTAGAATCCACAAAACAGATTTCCCTGAAGAATGATACAATAAATTTAGATATGGAAGCTAAAGAAATCATTTTCAAGTATTAATGAATTAGATCATTTATATTCTGAAAGGTAATGTGACACCTAAAAGAGCAAAAGGAAGTTTAATTTTTGATAAACAGTATCTAAACTATTACTGTATATATTCAATAGTTTATCTCTAAGATATTTTATTATGTCTTATTTATTATATATTTCACTGTGTTTTAGGGGTGCTTTTATTTTGATTGAGCAATAAGGAATAATTAAATATTGCTTAATTATTATTAATTAGAGGTAATGCCTATACTTGTAATTATGTTCAGATGAACAGTTTTACAGAATTACCATTTCTAATAAATTTAGGGTTCAGTTTTCCAAATTAACAACAATTCCCAGGCTTAAGCAAAATAATCTCTCTCACATGTGTCCAAATTTATATGTATTCCTTAGTAAAGTATAAAATAACATGCATATGTGTAATTTTTAGCCGAAACCTGCTGGAGTACTAGGTGCAGTGAACAAGCCTTTATCAGCAACGGGAAGGAAACCATATGTTAGAAGCACTGGAGCTGAGACTGGAAGCAATATCAATGTAAATTCAGAGCTGAACCCTTCAACCGGAAATCGATCAAGGCAATTTTTTTCTCCAGTTGTTTTTATTAGTATCACTCAATACTTGGTTCATCTTTCAGCTTTTTTCCTTAAAGCACTATATCAGAAAAATACTTTTAGAAATGTCTTGGTACAAAATAATAGTGTGAATTTTAGTATAATAAATGATGGAAATTGAGAGTGTAATATAGACATTGTGTAGCATTCTAAGTGTAAAAAAGTTAAATGGAAAAAATGGAAGAATTTGTAATACAACTATTTTGGAAATCTGGGCATATGTGGAAATTTAATATTTAGGAAAACTGAAATTGAATTTATATGTTTTTTAATTTTTAATTTTTAACTCAAGAAAATTGCTGTAGCATGAATTAAGATAATATTGTTAATAACATTCTCTTTCCCACTTAATAAAAAGATTCTGTCTGCTGTTTTTTTCCATCTTAGCTACTGCATAAGAATTTCCACATGACCCTACTGTTATCACCACTAAATATTGAGGCTTTTAAAGATTTTATTCTAACTCATGAAATTTTAAGACTATATTCAACTGGTGGTATTCTGAACACATTTTTATTCATAGAATCCCCAAATATGAAAAAAGTAACGGACTATCTGTGGTTTACAGAGATGGTAGGGCCTCTTCCTGCAGCCCCTCCTCTGTGGAGCACTAAGAACATAGACTGGAGACTACTGTCCTCTCATCTGTCATGTTTTTGTTTTAGGGTTTCCTGCCGTCAACAGAGAGAATAGTTGTGTTGTTTTCTTGACAAGTAATCTTTCTCTCCAGTGGTTTTAGGCAGTCATTTCTGACTGACAGTAGTAAGGTTAAATGGAAATCCACAGCATGATACAAGAGAGCAACAGTCTGTAACCACAGAAGGTCTGAATCTTGCTGACGTTACCTCACTTGGTCAGGCTTCTAAGGCAGTCTGAGCCTCTTGGTCTTTATTGGTATAGCAAAAGAGTAAACTTTCTATTCGTGTGGTGAAATAAGGAAGCTTTGGTTTATTTCTCTTCAACAGGGAACAGAGTTCAGAGGCAGCAGAAACTGGAGTTAGTGAAAATGAAGAGAATCCTGTGAGAATTATTTCTGTCACACCTGTAAAGAATATTGACCCAGTAAAGACTAAGGTAAATTTTAAAATTTAACATGTGGCCTTCTTCCATGGAGATTCTTACTACTATTTTATGATAGGAGTGAGAAACCCACCATTGAAGGGTAATAATATATCCTGCATAATATACATGTGCATATACCACCCTCTGCTATACCTACTGGCTTCCACTCTCCAAAAAATGATTCTTTATCCACTGTCTTCATTTACCAGCATTTATGTGGTCACCTGTAATGGTATCCTTCTCCCACACTACTTCTCTCAGGACTTTGAAAGAACAGGAACTGAAGGTTTCTGAGATCTTGTTTTCAAAACTTTATTGACTCCTTCCAGGGATCAACATTCTGTTTCTATTGTATTTTTTAAAGTTAAACTAATGAGTTAACTTTTTAAAATACATTTAAGTTTTTATTTAACAGCTGCATTCTTTGATGTTGTACCTTTTAACTGCACCCAATATTCTTAACAATTTTGGGGCAGGAGAGAATGGAGTCTAACACTGATAGGAGGAATGGCATAAGATACGGTTAGATGTTTTCCCACAGAATCATATTCTTGACAACATACTTAGCTTTTCATTATCCACCATATATCTATAGTATTTATCAATGTTTTATTGAATTGCCCTCCAAAATCGTAAAACATAGGACTATACAGTTATTCCACAGTAGCTGAACTTTTCCTATACAAACTCATTATCTGAACTCAAATTGAATAGATATGGATACATTTTTAGATCACTCTCTCACCATCCGAACTCTTGCTGCTTGCTGTCTGGACATCAGTATGTTAGTAGATTCAGGTAACAGGGAACCTCCCCCTGTCAAAACTCTAAGAATTCAGAAATGAATAGATTTGAATATTGTGGGGTTCTTATATAGAATTAAACATTCAGCCTAAACAAACTTACATGCAGAAATGCATATTGCCACAGTCATTTAGTTAAACATACTTAAAATATGGATTAAGAGGTGGTGCAAGGATGCAAGTATTTATCTAGTAGAAACAGCTATCTATAGCCTTTCCAACCTTTGCTGTAAAATTCTATATACGATAAATTGGACATGTACGTTCTAATTTCTGAGCACTAAAATGTTACTTTGATCTGTAATATTTTATTGTTCCAAACCTTTATTTTAACTTTATCATACCTGCAAAGAATCTTTTAAAGGGTCTGCTGTAGCCTGAAGAGACTGGGGTTGTGTTTTGGCAAAAGTCTGATAGTCTTCTCACTCAGGTCTCCCATAACATGATATGGTCATTTCTTTCCAGGATCTCGTCCTCCGTCATGCAGGTTCAAAAAAAACAATCTTACTAGTATACTAAAAGAGATAAACATACAAGGGAGTATTTCTTGCTAACTAATTTCTCAAAGAGATTGATACATAAACTTATACATAAATTCATTAGTTATGTATATAAATATTATCCAACAAACTGGATATGCATGTTCATGCATTGGAACATTTTCTGTTATTTACTCTGTGAGGGAAATCAGATTGTAGTATGAAGGATGAATAAGGAAGGTGGTTAAAAGAAGAAACAAGACATGCACATTCCTTGAACGCGGGCAAGCACTACCACCAATGTTGTCCTTTAATAGTCTTTTTCTTCGCACATGTAGCTGGCGACCGATTTGCTCTTCGTTTGGCTTTTGCATCTTTATACATGAGCACACGTACATAATATTCATAAATGTTAAATATGCTCACGTGCATGACTTATTTTTTTATTGAAGTATAGTCAGTTTATAATGTGTCAATTTCTGGTGTGCAGCATAATGTTTCAGTCATACATACACATACATATATTCGTTTTCATATTCTTTTTCATTATAGGTTACCACAAGATATTGAATATAGTTCCCTATGCTGTACAAAGGAAACCTGTTGTTTGCATGACTTTTAATAGTCTTCTTTTCCCCTTTAAAACAGCCTAATCTGTTCAGTTTTTTCTCTACAAATACACATAAGTGCTTCCTTTCCTTCTTTTTTTTTGCCACTACAAACAATGTTGCATTAAATATTCTTCATAAACACACGTTTACTGGTGATTTTATTTCTAGGGGGTAGGTTCCCAGTAGTGGGATTGCTGGTCAATACATTACAGATTTTAGATATTTCCATATTGCTTTATTTTATTTTATTTTTTTTGAAAAATCAGAACACTTGACATCACCAGGGTAATTTTTTCTCTACATACCCACTAATAACAGGTTTTACAGTTCTTTCGATTTTTTTTCAGTTTTAACTGTCAAAACGAATGCCCTGTTGTTGTTTTAATTTGAATTTCTCTGACTATCAGTATTTTGCTTGATCATTTGGATGTGCTCTTCTCTGAATTGCCTGTTCATATTCGCCCATTTTTAAATTATCTTTTTCTTGTCTAATTCAACTTCTGATGCTGTGTAGAAGTTATACATTCTTGTTAACATTCTTGCTCCCTTCCAATCCAGTCACAGTATACCAGCCAGATTGATCTTTTTAAAGTATAACTTGGATTATGTTTGTCTTCTCCTTAAAGTCCTGCAGTCACTTTTATTAGCACTTAGAATTAAATCAGATTTCTTAAATTTCCCATGAGGCACATCATCTGGCCCATGCTTGCATCTCCTACCTTATACCACTCTCCCATCACTCCTTATGATTACAGTTCCTTAATCCTTCCAAGCTCTTTCCTTCTTCAGGTACTTTATGCTGCCTCTTGCCTCTGTCTAGAATACTTTACTTATCATGTGATAAGTCCTGCTTTGATACTGTTTGAACTAATATTCCCCAAAAGAACCAGTGAGAAATTGATGCTTCCTCTAATTTTTTTCTGAATGACCTTTTCCTTGATCTCTTAGCTCTTAGGATAATCTGTACTTAAATGTTTGTTTACTTTTTTAAAAATTAGTCATCTACCATACTAATCTACTTAAGGACAGAAACAGTGTCAGTTTTGTTCCCCAATCTGTGCCCAGTAGCCACTGCACCTAATACGCATTCAGCTGGATGAATGGTTACTGCTTCAGGTTTAACCACACTTGTTTTTATTGATCCATCTTATTTTGCCCAGGAATCACCATCTTTCTCCAGGCTGACTTTGTATGTCTCTTCTCTGTGTATTGTTTTACAGTTTAATTCTTGTGGACCACCTCACTCTTGTTCCTTCATGCTTTATTCATTCTCTTAAAATGAGGATTAACATTAAAGTAAACCCTAACATGAAACATTGATTTGTGGATTTTCTAACTTAAATTACTACTTTTATGAGTTTTCATTTAAGTAAATTTTCTTGAAACATAATAGATGTGTTTCTCTGATTATTTTGAAAACATTTTTGGGGGGAAATGAAAATTGATTAATTAATTGAAAAGATACGGTTTGATTTTTGGGGTGATTGCTTTCCTTTGTTTCCCTTTAATCAATTAGCACTATAACTAATTCCTAAATATCATTCATGTAAAGATCACTTTCATTCTGAAAAGTATTCCTCCTCCTAATGTCCATTATGTCTTATATGTTAAAATGGGATTTTATTACTTTAAACATTTTAGATGACTTAATATATAATATATATGCCAAACCAGAAGAGAAAAGAAGAGAATGTTCAGAAAAAAGTAGAAGGTTAATGATTGATGCAGTAAGAAACAAAAGTTAGAAGGAAGGAGTGGAGTGACATATTGAAGAACTTTATGTCACAGAATTAGAAAAGACTATCATATTTAGATGCATCATAGTGAAAGAAAATAATACTGAATTATGAAAGCATGCTCCCTTCCTTTGAAAAGTGATACATTTAGAGCATACCATCAATAAAAAGGACTTTTTCATTTAAAATCAGTGTGGTAGCAAACCAAGTAGGTTTTCTCTCACAGATACTGCTTGTGCATTTTAATTAGCAAGTACTATGGTAGGTACCACGTTCAGTTCCTACACTAGAACATTCCTCGTGGGATGTAAGCAGTTAACTAGAAGCCCTGGAATCCCAGCTCCTTTAAAATACTTCAGAATATTTCCTTCTAGTACACATCATTGATATTTAAGGAATTTATGTTCATAGAATTATTTTGTGCTCTTTTAGGAGATTAATTCTGATCAGGTTGCCCAGGGCAACATCAGCAGTGACCGAGGAAAGAAAAGAACAGTAACAGCAGCTGGTGCAGAGAATATCCAACAAAAACCAGATGAGAAAGTAGATGAATCAGGACCACCTGCCCCTTCAAAACCCAGGAGAGGACGTCGACCCAAGTCTGAATCTCAGGGCAATGCAACCAAAAATGATGATATAAATAAACCTCTTAGCAAGGGAAGAAAGAGAGCTGCAGTCAGTCAGGAAAGCCCTGGAGGTTTGGAAGCAGGTAATGCCAAAGCACCCAAACTGCAAGACATAGCCAAAAAGGCAGCACCAGCAGAGAGACAAATTGACTTACAAAGGTAATGTATGCCATTCTTTCTGAACTTTGAATTTAGACATTTTGTTTTATTCCTAGTATGTGCCAGTCATCCCCAAACACCTAGGCATTTGGAAGTGAAAACTGCCCTAGGTTTTCCTGAGTGAGTTATGATGGCATTTGTTTTTTTCTCATAAACTTCAGGACAACAATTTGAAGAGAGATCTTTTTTCCTTTGGTTAATTTTTAATTAAGATACAGTATCTTGATATTTCTATTTCTAAGCATGGATAATACTATCTTTGCTTGGTGTCCTTCACATAGTTACATGGGGTTTACTTAATATAAAGAAAGGGCTACCTTTTGGCTACAAAGGTCCTGGAATGGAAAAGATAGAAGTCATGACAAGTGAACAAGTATATCCTGTTCTTTAACTCTTCTTGTTGCTGTTCATCTTAATATAAGTCTACAGCTTAACTCTCCCCCAACCTCACCAGTAAAATGGCCTCGAGCTGCTCATCTTGATCGTGTTTGAGATGGGATTTCAGGCTTTCCGTACTGTAACAGTGATGCTCCAATTGGAGGGCTAGGAATTGCCTCCTTTCATACTTGGCCTACAGTTAGAAGTTAGCCCTACCCTCCTTCTTTCTCCTTGTATACGTAATACCTAATTCGTCTTCCCCCAAATTAGATTGTAAGTATCTAAGTTCCTCCTAGGAAAGAGCCAGCTCTGATCATGTTAGGATACCCCACCATCCTGCTTCAGTATTTTTATAAAATACAGTGTTGCTAAGGCATACATGTTTGCAACTACATTTTTAAAAATTACTATTTATGATCCTGAAGTTCGGGGCTATTAAATTTTCTTATATTTTAAGTGTCTCTGATTACCTTATACAACATCTCATGGCAGCTGATCCAGGACCAAACCTGACTAAGTAATGGGTGTTTCTTCTACTTATTTATTTCTAGTTTTATGGACTAAAAGTATAGTAAGAAAAGCCAGTATTGGGGACAAATTTATTATTTTTCTCTGCAAATCTGGACCTTTGAGCTGAAACAACATATTGAACCTTGGCCTCCTTTTCTTCATCAGTAAGACAGTATGGTAATACCTTTCTCAAAGGATTGTTCTAAAAATTAAATTGATCATTAAAGATAAAGCACTTAACAAAGTGCCTTGCACAGAATAAATTCTCAGTAATTAGTTTAACTATTGTTTTGCATTTTAGTTGCTTTACCCCTTAAATATACTTTTAGTTATTCAGAAGCTGAACAGTTTCATGGGAGATTGCCAGAATTCCCTAAAAGGTTTCTAGAATTCTAGCCATTCCTCACCCACACAAAATAGATCATCACACCCAGGCCACCTGACCTTACTTCTCATGAACTGTCTTTTTGCCATCTAACCAAAATATCCAGGTACTTACTTGGATCCTGAAAAACATTTTCAGTGAGTAACCAGACCTTGTCTCTGAAATTGTGCGTTGTAACACTCACTGCTCTCCTTTTAGTTACACAATATGCCCCAACAGCATTAAACCAACCAGGAGAAATGGCTTACATGCCAGAGCCTGGTTTTGATTAAAAATGGCTTTGGGCCTTCTTAAAAGATACCTTATAAGTCTTAAGTATGCCAGTAGTAGATAAGTAGGTAGTGTATTATCCAAAATACAGAATTCTGTGATGATTTTATATACTCAGTGAAGTTAGATTGTTAAATTAGGTGTTCTTGAGAACATTTTGCATACATACTTCAGAAACTTCTGATTGAATTATTGACTACTAATTAATGGCTAACAAAACATAGAAGTATAGTCTGAAATTTTCTCCCAAGTTTCCTTTTGTCTTTTCCATGTTTCCCTGGATCTACTATACAACTGCCTTTAAATTCTACCATTCTAACTTAGGCCTGAAATCCTGATGAACTTATTCAGCAAAACTTCATTTATCCCAGGAAGTCGGTATTGCTCATGATATCCTCTTTTTTTGAATTGAATTTGAATTTTATAGGCACATCAGTATTGCTCTTTGTGATTCTCATTTGTTCTTCTAACAAATACCAGTTAGAGTGCCAGCACCGTGCTGGGTGTTAGCAGTACAAAAGTATCCAAAACAGACAGGTTCTTGCCCTCAAAGAGTGCACTTCCCCAGCTTGTCAGTTCCAGAAGAAAGCAGAAAATGTTCACTTTAGGTCTGTTGATACAGTAAAAGTATAATTTTTTTTAAATTATAACATAAAACAATGAAATTCTGACACATGTTACAGTATAAGTGGACCTTAAGGACATTGTGCTAAGTGAAATAATCCAGACCCAAAAGGACAAATACTATATGATTCCTCTTATATGAGTTACCAGAGCAGTCAAATTAAATTCAAAGAGACAGAACAAGGTGGTTGCCAGGAACAGGAGGAAGAGGGAATAGGTGTTACTATTTAATAGGTATAGAGTTTCAGTTTGGGAAGATGAAAATATTCTAAAGATGAGTGGCAGTGATTGTACAACTGTGCGAATGTAATTAATGCCACTGAACTGTGTACTTAAAAGTGATTAAAATGGTGGAGGAGGGTGTAGCTCAGGTGGTAGAGTACATGCTTAGCATGCACAAAAGGTCCTGGGTTCAATCCCCAGTACCTCCTCTAAAAATAAGTAAATAATTAAACCTAATTAACTCCCCACCAAAAAAAAAAAAGATTCTTAAAAAGTGATTAAAGTGGTAAACTTTATGTTACATAGACTTTATTACCTTAAGAAATTGCTACATAAGAATAATAATAGCTAGCAATAATATAGTGCTTATTAGGAGCCAGAACTATTTTAAGCTTTTTATTAACCTATTAAATGCTTAAAACATCTTTCCATGAGTAAGTACTTTCATCATCCCTAGTTTATAAAGAGGAGGAATTACAGGAATAGAGGGTCCATGTAGCTTTTGGTTCTTTTGTTTATGTAAATAGTGGAGGCAGGATTAAAACCAGGCAACGTCACTCTGAAGTCTGTAACCAAAATACTACATTGTACTCTTAAGGTGAAATTAAGCCTTAATTCTAAAGGTACTATATCTGCACTCAAAACTAGTTTAACAGAGGATACTTTGAAAATACTTACTTGCATGTTTTACGTAGCTGGTGTAGCTTATATATGTGATAGTTTCCATAAAGTAGGACATACTTGCATAATTTTTATAATTATTACATAAGAAGCTAGTTTATTTTAAGTGATCATAGGTTGAACAAAACAGAACAACTGTAGTCATATTTTTAACCTATTTCAGAGTTCATGCAAACAGAAGCCCCTGCATTTTAGCTTCAGAGAGGGAAAAACAGTGAGATCAGATGTTCTTGAATGTGGCCAGCTCAAACGAAGCACCTAATGCTAAGAATATTGTCAGACTGGTGAAAATTAGGTAGCATAATACATGGGATATTTGGCATGGTGCTTAGCATATATATTAGTAGAAATAATAATGATAATAGGGAAAGGTTGCTGAATGTCTGTTTGCCGTGCCAACAATCATTATGTAGCGAGTACAACCCTGTGTAAGAGATGAGGAGGTTAGACCTGAAAAGATTACTTTCTCAGGCCACCTGACTGGTGCTACACAGAGCAGGGCTTTGAATCCAGGTGAGTCCCTTATTAACTGCCTCACTGTACTGCTAACAGTGGCAGCTGCACTTACGTTTCTCCTCTAAACTATGAATATTCAGAAAATTATTACTTACTTGTTTTCCTCTTAATGTATAAAAGGAGATTTTACAGTGTGTAGTAACCACCAAGCAATGAAATAGACACACTAATAGAAATTCCTTGTTTGTGACTCAGCTGTTTTAACTGTCCTTCAACTTGAGAAATGTTGAATGGTCAAAATCCTGAAGGTGCCAGCTTTATTATTATTTCATGAGAAACTTCTAGCTTTCACCTTCATACAAGATTCTAAACATACTTCTCAGTGGGGAGAGCATGGCTCACATGGTAGAGCGCATGCTTAGCATGCATGAGGTCTGGGTTCAATCCCCAGCACCTCCATTAAAGAAAAAATAATATATCTAGTTACCTTCCCACACACACAATAAATAAATAAACATACTTCTCATTAACAGGTGTTACCTGTGATTGATTTGACATCTCACGTGTATTTTCCTGAGACCTGGTGAGGATCAGATACAGGCTGAACAATTCTGAATATAGAGCTAATTTAACATCTTGAATCATCCTGTTAAGGTTATCATTACAGTTTCAACCATCTAATTAGTAAAAGAAGAGAGTTGCCAAAGCTGAGAGCCATCAAACACGTAAACACGTATTTCTGAGCTAAGGATGAATCCAGAGTAATAGGCTTGGCTCACCTACTGCCCTGGCAACTTTTAGCATAGCCTGAGGTCCTTGCATTGTGGAACCACATCTGGATCTGGATCACTGCGCTAAAGTAGTTTACCCCTGGTTTTAAGCTTGAATGCTAGCCTTTGAGAAATAAGGCCTAGCTCCCTTGTGCTTCTCTTTGGCCCTGTTTTCCAACTCCAGATGCTACTTCCTCAGTCTTTTCCTTTACCTTGCTACCTTACCTTTCCTTTACCTATTCTTCACACATTTTACTTGCTTAATTTCTCACTTCCCAGATGATCAATTCCTGCTCTGGTCACAACACTCCCCCCATTAACATCTGAAAAGAACCTGACCTCACCCTAACCTTCACTCTATGTGCAAGTTTCTCCTCCAGGCAGTTAGTCTACACTGTATGCTGGCACCACATGCAGAAAACTCACCCAGTTCTATTACTTGGTATATATACTATTATCAAAAGTATGATTATTTAAATTTTATTATTAAATTATTAATGAAAACCACTTTTGAGGCCTTAGTATATGCCAGTGCCGAGCCCTCTGGAATTTCTCTTATCAGGTCCTCTTACTGACAACATTAGGTAAATAGTAATTGTTTTTAGTAAGACTCCTACTTACATAATTTATTTACTAATTCAAGATAGTTTATTCCACCAAAACAAGGATACTGTGCCCAGAAATTTACTGGAATAGATTTTATTTCTTAATCTGGAAGTTGATACATTTTAACTTGTAAACTTAACCGTAGAATTTTTAGATCCCTTTGGATTTTTGCAGTAAATGTACACTTGTTTTTCCTTTGTTTTTGAACTGTTATTCAAATGGCAAACAATTCCAAACATTTTGCATTGAAAATGTGTTTTTGTAAGTCTGCTAATTTTTAAGTATGTTTTGCTTACCCTTGAGGCCAAATTCTTCCCTGAAAAAGAAATTATCAATAGACATCAGTCCTTAAACTTGGGACTTATGGGGAACCTGTGGATTTAAGGAAATTATCTGTAGAATAATATAGTTTTCCCATCTTTGGATTAATGTGTTTTGCTTAGCATACTTAGTATGGGAGTATTCAGAAATCTCGGAATTTATATTTTTCTTAAGCAAAGAATTTACTGTTTTTCTATGCTCATTTGTATATTGAGAAAGTTTCCTCACGTCACGTGTAATTTTAAGGTTTTCATATCTTAAAATTAAAGTATCCCCTAAGTGTGTTTTCTCATGTATTAAACAACCATATATTAGTCTGATACTATTCAGTAACAAGTGAATTTTTATCAAAATAATATGAAATTTTTCAGAAGCCAAGTGCTCGGAAGTGATGGCGATTCACTTTGGGACATAGAATCAAGTCCAGAAAATTCTTCCAGTGATCTGGATCGTTTTAAAGTCTGTGAGAACAGCCAGGAAGATACTGAGGACTCAGAGCTAGTAAAGGGAAGCTTCCTGAAGGTGCAGCAGGCAGCTTATAGAGGATTGTTTGATATCGTATTATTAAACTTGTTCTGTATAACAAATTAATAGTCTCTGTAAGGATCTTAATCACTTAGCTTCTCTCTTACTTTTAGCATTGTTATCTTTATAAAAGGTATATGTAATGTTGGGGTTTGGGAATATAAGCAAACAACACCCTTATCTTTCTCTCCCAAGTTTGGAATTGTTGAAAAGGAGATGCAATCTTAATAGTGATATGGCTGATTAAAAATGTGAAATGACATAGGCAAGGTAACTACTGATGCCTTGCCCCTAAATTGAACAACCAGGCAGACCAGAACACACCTTTTGGGGGCAAAAGAGAACGAAAAAAAGAAAGAAACCAAAGCCCGGCATGCTGTTTTTCCCTCCCCTACCGCTTCACCTATTAGATGGGTCTTCCTCCTCCCATACAGCAGTAGGAGGTGGGGAGAAGAGGAAGAGACCATACCTCACGCCCTCATGCTTCCAGAGATGAGGATTTTCCCTCTCTACTAGAGAAATGGGACTAGTGGGGAATTCCTCTAACTTCTTAACAGAATTAAGCTAAATTTTCCTCCTTGTTTTTTCAGTATACTAAAGAACAGAACTTATTCTGCTTATAAATTCATTTTGCCATAATGTCTAGTAATTTTTCTACTATAATATCAGTTTGAATGTATTAATAAAAAATTATTTCAAATAAATAGCTTTTACTATTTTATTGTTGTAATAAGCAAATTGAGCATTGGGTAGCAACAGCAGTTAATGGTGAAAATAATAACTTCGTCATTGGCATTTTGTTTTTATATAGTTTACAAAAAGATTCCTAAACCAAGTAGTCTCAGATGAAAAATTAAAATTTTTCAGATTTTTGTAACTATAGAAATAATTTGGGTTTTGTCTGTTTTCCTGTTTATATCTTTTCTAACATTGCTTTCTTCTACTCCTATCCTCAAGGTAAAAAGAAAATTCATGTGCAAAGGGAGAAAATGAAGGCCAAACAGAAGCAGGCTCTAGCTTCTGCAAAAACTTGGATTCAAAATGACCCGGAACAGAAAATGAAGTTAATTTCAGAACACACACTTTCTGCCTTGAAAACTGAAAAAAGCTATTACTTCCTTTTTTCACATGACCACAAGTCTTTGATGGAAATGTACAGCAGAAACTCTTGAGAGAGGCTAAAAGCAACTCTATTGTACCCTCCCCCAGACTTTTCTTATGAAAAGTCAATAATTAAGCAAATTGCTTAACACTTGGTTCCAGTTCCTGCATATCTGGAGTTTAAAGGCATATTACACCATTAATTTCCATGCTGCAGTCTTTATTTTAAAGAAAATAACAGGATGTCCTTACACTGACAATGAAAATTCATCAGTTTTAGAGCCAGGAATTTCCCGTGTTACACAAGAAAAAAATTGAAGTCTACTGAATTAATTTTTTAGAAGAAAAGAGATCAGATTAAATATTTCTTTGTTTTCCTTTTGGAAACTTTTATGTATAATTCTTTCTGCCTGCCTACTTTTCTGCAAAAATGAGATGTACAGATTTCAGTTCCCTGCTATGAAAAGTGATGTGGTGGCAATTTTATAAATGTTGCTTTCTGATTTTTATCAGAGTGAGAAAATAATTAAAAATTATTATTGATTTCATATCACTTCATATTTTGATTTCCCCTCCATTTTAGTTTAATATAATTTTGCAATAAATGTACATATTGTTTGTTTCATAAAGCATATCACTTTAAAAATGGTTTTTACTCCTGTGATTATGTTGGAATGTTTGGAATTTTAAAGGAGTAAAGACTGTCCAGCATTTGGTTTTATAATGTTTGTCACCAGATTTTTATTGATGTAAAAAAAAAGTCAATTTTTTAAAATAGTTGGACTTTGGCAGCTTTGTAAGGAAAGTTGGAGGTGTTTAGGATTGCTGTCAGTGAGCAGCATTGTGCTGTTGGGAAATAAGTGTTTTGCTTTTTGTCTGCCAACCTGGGTTCCGTTTTTATGTTTATTTTAGAAGACAACTGTTGCATCAATAAATTGTTCCTTGGCATTGTTCAGCATAGGTAATGTGTGCACTTTTTGTGTACACGTATTCATTCATATTTAAGTTAAGTTTTTTGCATAAAATAAATGCTTCTAGATGTCATATGGTAGTCTTTTTTAATCTTTTTATCATATTATGTTCTCTTATGAAATTTTTTATGTGAAAGGGCTAGTCATAAACAAAGAACATGATTACAGTCAACTCTCCATTATCTATATAAAATAGTGACTATGCCTCTGGTTTTGGATTTTGCAGTAGTCATAAACTTAAAATAATGAAGGCATACCATAGAGCTAATTTAGGAGGAACTTGAGATTGGTCCTGTCTCACACCCAGAGTCATCACCTGCCCCCATACTCCACTTAAAGCCCTGCCCCAAAGCCCTACCTGAATGTGTTTGGTGTCCTTGCTCACATCTAGCGTGGGTTCGAGGACAAAAATATTTGTGTTATAACTTGATCTTGACAAGCTGTAGTCTACCTGCGATGTAAAACAAACAGTGAACGTGAACTGTGTCAAAAAAGGGTTATGTTAAATGTCAAGTTGCTGGTAGTAAATGTCACTTATGTTCTCATAGATAATCAAGAGTTGGCTGTATATTGACTGAATGAAAGATGGGTAATTCTTTTAAATATGCATATACACACACTTAGTTATCAGATGAGGGTTAGGGAACAATGGATACCAGTGATAGAAAACAGTATCTTTTACAAGGGCAGAAAAAGCTCTACTCTTCCTTATTGCCTCTTCATAACCCTGTAGAAAGAAAGTATAAAATAATGCCTCCAACATGCTGAAAAAGAGTATCTATGCATAAGCATCAGAGAAGTCCCTCAAGCAATCAGTGGGCATGTTCTAATCAGATTTTGAAGTTCTCTTAGCATCAGACAACTTGATTCTTAAGGCCATCAATCTGCCACCAATATAAAGCACACTGGTAAGGACCTTCCATCTCTCTTATCTCCTTGACTAATTACTCAGCATCGCAGCTGACTAGATTACCTAGTATGAACACATACTTAACATAACGTTAACAGACCATTTGCCTCAGTTATGGCTGATCAGATTTTTGCAGGAGAGGAGTTAACTAAAAGATCTGGTCCACATACATATGGAAATGGCCCACCCCTAATTTTTTTTAATATGAAGCAAGTGTCTGGCACTAAGGGAAGGGAGAGTAGGATGATGAAAGATTGAGCTGATGAAGGAGGGACTTGTTTTAAGGGAAATTTGTCATTTTTCCTTTGAAAAAGGAAAAAGTAAAGTCCCTTAGGAATTTGGTATTCACATCTCAGAGAAATACAACACAAAGTGCAGACTTATATTTGAGAATTAATGTTAACCCTTTGTGTCTAGTTTGAAGCTTCCTGTATTTGTCTAAAACTACAAGCCAGAATTTTGTATCTCCTTTGATAAAAAGTGTGTATAATGTAAAGTAGTTTTGCATATTCTTGTGCTGCACATGGGCTGAATTTTTAAAATTTTTTAAAGACTTGAAGCAGAACCTTGTAATTTGTGTAAATGACAAGTGTAAAATCCTACCATAAAATGCTAAAAATATGCATTGTTTCAAATAAAACCAAGAATGCAGCATTATATAGTAGTGTGGAGCCCTGAATATTTATGTACCCCCGCACCCCGGTATGTCACAAGCTGATAAAACATCTTTGCATATTTTCTGTTTAGATTCTGGAGTCAGTCTGCATATCTTCATAAGGATTCAAATGCCACCTTCAAACTTCCTGACTGCTACTCTGATCTGACTTCTAGCAACTGAGGGAGAACATTAAATAGATAAACTCTGATGGACATTTGAGAAACTTGAGAAGGTTTTTAATCTAAGAATTTAAAAGTGGCCTTTCATTTATACTATCCATTGATACATCTATTTTTTGCAAATTCTGGACATGTACATTTAGGTCAAAAACTAGCTGATGGAGAGCAAGCAGATTACATAAATGTACCTGGAATAAGAGGTGAACAGAATGAGAAGAGAAACTCATGCCTGGTTCTGTATTTTACCCTCAGTGGGATTATCACTCCACCCTTGGATCCTTGTCCAGACTTTGTCTTCAGTATTCACATGACTAACTCAGTAGAAACCACTGGTGACCAACAAGTCTAGCAGTCTGACGACAAGCTTTGCAGCCTGCCTAAATAATAATGATGGCTTTGTCTACAAGAAGTTAAAAGTTAGCTACAAGTCAGCAACAGTGTAAAACAACGGAAATGAGTGTACATAAAACACTTCCTCAGCCTGTAAACCGGAGCTTCGAGTTTTCATCCCCCTAAGAGTAATAACCACATATTTCACTTTGTGTCTTATTTCAAAGTCCAACAGGAACATGCACAAGGAACCGTTTCTAAGGAACCTGGGCCAGGCTGGTGATCAGGACTTCAGCTTTGGGGTATTTCTCAAATAACTTTCTTTTTAATTAATGATTCCAACTTAAGGCACTTTCCTCTCCCTCATTCTCTAGGTACTCCTTTTGCTAGCAAAGACCATGTGTCCTTTTAAGAAACAGCACTGTATCTGTTCTTCCATCTAGGAGAAGCTTGAAAGCAATTACCTGGAGGTCAGTTATACACATAAGGAGCACCACAGCACAAAGGTCCAGGTCTGTGGAAGCCAGTAAGAAAATGTAAGGATGGGGGTAACCATTCTGAACACACCGGGCTCAGTGACAGGGCATGGCAGTGAAGTGTTTGTTGTCCAAAGGCCTGATCTTCATTGATGCGTGATGTAGGTAATATGTATCCTACTGATAGTTTCGGCATTGTTTTGAAGATTAAAAACACTAAAAACGGTGCCTTAGAAGGAGTAGCAATATAAAGCAAATAGGACAACAAAAGCTGTTCTAGGTAATACACTGACTTAAGAGAACTCATGGCTGCTTAGAAGCAGAAAATCCTCACCTTTTCTGGAGATGTGCAATTCTGAGAATTGTTACGAGCACACAGGTCCCTAAAGAAGTGACTGGGCTGAGCAAGTCGCCTACCAGATTACCTGGACCTGATGCAAGAGGCACCTCTCTAGCCTGGGAGCCCCCTGGGAGGAGGGAGTCCTGAGCGTAGGCAAGGGCCAGAGGACAGCTCTTTCAGCAGCACTGCTTGAGCACTTCCCTTATGCAAAGTATCGCTCTATTTGCAGACACTGGAACACCTGGTCCCAGCCCCCACACCTTGGTCTCCCACCTTCCCAAGTGCACCCCCATCCAAAGCACAAATTCAGGTGTGTCCATAATTCCTGTGGTTTCTTTGGACAAATTGTAGGAACTTAGTGGGCTTCTCCAAGAAGCAAATTTTGATGGGGACCTAGGCAGCGCCCACTTGAATTTTGTTTTGAAACTTTTTGAGAAGAGATCACCCTGGTAGCCACCCCCCACCCCAAAAAAACTCCTGAAACCCTTTTCCTCCCAGGAAGGTTTTGAAAGTTTTGCCATCTGGTTTCCCATGGCTTGTGGTGGCGTGTACCCTCCAAGAGAAAGGTCAGCTGCAGAGACAAAAGCAGAACCTGCTGCTTTGCCACCCACCTCAGGTTAAGAGCTGAAAGGCAGAAGGCTGGTACCCCTAAAACTACCTCACGTGTTGAGACTATTTTACAGGAAGGCTCTTTTAAAGGTAGTCTGAAGACTTGGCCCCGGAGCACAGGGTCTCTGCATTCACTGACCATTTGGCAGCTTGGCCTGCCTGCCCACGGAAGCTGACAATTCTGGACAGCGGGGCATGCCTCTTTCTAGAAGTCTATTACATCAGTTCCAGTCTCCTGCTAATTCCACCTGTCCATCTAATGGTAACATACATGGCAGTGAAGTGTTTGTTGTCCAAAGGCCTGATCTTCATTGATGCGTGATGTAGGTAATATGTATCCTACTGATAGTTTCGGCATTGTTTTGAAGATCAGAGCTACCTAAATTTTACACATCATATAGAAGGATGAAAGAAATTATAACTATTCCATAACAAGTAGAAACAAGAAGAAAGCCACTGTGCAAACACATGGCCTTTGTTACCATTTGGCCTTGGGGAGAACAGGGTTCTGAAAGTGGGAGGGAGCAGATTAGTCACTTTCATTTTAATATCCCTGCTTATAATTAGTATTTCTCAACAATAATAGTTGAGCAGAGAAGCCCAAAAAGGGCTGACATTTCTACTAGATTCTCTATCCCTTAGGAAAGCTTAATCGAGAGCACAGATCGCTCAGGTGCACAGAAACATCTGCTCTGTAAATTCAGGCAGGAACCCTATAAGGCTTGGGTTGAGTACCTCACAGTGTCAGTCAAGTGGAAGCAACCAGGTGATGATGGAAATATGCCTTAAAATAATGCAAAATCCAGCAGACCTGGGAGGCCTTATCACCTCTCCTGGATACTCAGAAGAGCAAGCGCCCCAAGAAAAGTCCAGTTGGGGAGCTCTGGAGGCTGTGAGGGGCCCCCCACTAGGATGTGAGCCAGGTACACAGGCCTTCATTTGTGTTGGAATGGGACGATCACGTGGGAAAGACTAGAATATTTTCCTACTTAGAAATTCAAATTAAGAGTTGCTTCCTTGGGCTTCATAAAGCTCAGACCCCTGAGATGCTCTTCATTTCCCCTACTGCACAGGGCTCCTTTCACCTCATGGGGCAAGATTAGTCAGTCTCCTTGGCAACTGCCCAGTCAGTACCTTTTCCACTCTAACCATCAGATCAGAGTGTGCTGGTCCTTGAGTGCCTAGTCTGCCCTGGTACTGTTTTACCTAAAAGAAAGGGAGGCACAGAAGAGGCAGTTTGTTCTGCCTAAGCTCTAGTGCCCCACACCACACCCAAAGCCAGTAAAAATACAAACTTATCAAAACCTTGGCACTTTACATACACCGGCATATTTAATTCTCACAATAACCCCCTAAGGTAACTATGTTCATCTCTACTTACACATGCTGCTTCAGCTCAGAGAAGTAAAACAATAAGCCCAAGTCCCCTCAGCAAGAAGGGGGCAGTTTCAACCCAGTCTGACCACACAACTCAGTGCTTCCTGCCTAACCTTTTCCACCAGGTTTCTGAGAGACCCACACCTTTTTGGAACTTAATGGTAAGTGAAATACAAGAGGAGAAAGAAAAGGATAACGCATACAAGATGGTGGGGAGTAGCTGGGATGATGCTACCTATTGCTTTCTGTTGCTTCCATGCAATTCAGCAAACAATATCCTAAGGAAACCAAGGTAACATTAACCAAGTCTCCATCAATTGATGGATGAATAAACAAAATGTGATCTATGTACATCAAATACATAAACAAAACACATACAATGGAATACTACTTAGCAATAAAAAGGAAGGAAATACTGATCATGCTACAACACAGATGAAGCTCAGAAACATGCTGAGTGAAAGAAGCCAGACACAAAGAACTACATACGGTATGCTTCCATTTATATCAGCTATCCAGAGAAGGCAAATCTAGAGGGACAGAAAGTAGATTCATGCTTGCCAGGGACTAGGGCTGACTGCAGCTACAACTAAAGAGGCTCATGGGATCTTACTAGAGCAATGGAAATGTCCTAAAACTGGACTGTAGTGATGGCTGCACAACTCAGTAAATCTTCTGAAAATCAGTGAATTGTATATTTTTAAGGGGGATGTATTTTATAATACGTAAATTGCACCCCAGCAAAATTTCAGATAAATGAGACATCTTCCCCCCCGAAAGTTTAACTATACAAAACAAAGCAGCATCTACTGAAGTACCAGACTGTTAAATCCACGTCATGTCAAAAGAACCATTATTACCAATAACTGAGTTTCCAGGCACACCACCTTCCCATCAGTGACCTCTGCTCCTCTGAGGGTTACTTGCTGGGGTCAGTCTAGTTCTCAGTGAGGAGGGTCTAAAAACAGTTTTCTCCATGGGGCTGGCCTTATTAACCAAAGACAGAAAAGACTATGTGTAAACCAGGGGCCAGCATGTTCACAAAGACTGATCAGTTCCTTCTCTCTGCTTGGGAAGTCTCTGTGGGAAGCTGAGCTGCATGAAGTCTGGGAAGTGCAGACTCTACAGGAAGAGCTGGCCGGCTCATCTTCATAATGAAGCCTCCATTAGCTGCAACTGCCTGCGGAATCCATCTCTATTCTGGTATGCCTGGCACTGTGAGACTTGGAAATCTTATAGACCCTTTCACAATGCAGTTTTCTCACTTGTAAAATATCAACTGCTTCATAGTCATGAAGGTAAAAGGGAGAAAGCACTTCGCAGAATGCCTGGCCACAGTGAGTGCTCACCTGCTCTCAGATGTCCCCCTCAAGCAGACTGGCAGCCCCCAGCACCACCGGAACATCTTCAGGCAGCGATCAAAGACACTCAGATACTTTTGCTCTTGCTTGCTGTATCTGTTTTCCAGGATCTGGGCCAACCACCCTACTTCTGTTAGTCTTCCTTGAGCCCAGTACAAAATTTCCATTTCCTCACATTCCCATACAGTTCAGCCCCAAAGAGGCCACATCTATCATTTAACTTTCTCATCATTTTTTAACAGTCAGTATACTGAATGCCCTTTTGTCTGAGGAACCACCCCACCATCACCACAACCACTACGCAATGAGGCAGAGCCCATTTCCCTCTGCA